GGGGAATCTGGCAAATATTTCTCCGACGACTAATGCAACTCATCAACTGGTATACTTACACTATATGTTGTTCAATGGTGTTCTGAGAAAGAAGGGAGCGGTATAGATGAAAACAATTTACAGTTTATGTTTGAACAGACCAAATGCTCATTATGAATCAGGCGCGAAGCTATATGTAGCCAAGGACGGTCAACTGAACACCTTTCGCCAAAAAATTATACTGTATATGTGATAAAATATTACTTGTTAACACCCTTATTGAATTTTCTGGCTTCGCCACTGATATAAATCATAACCTATTGCGAGTTAGCAGAATATCTTGTCAAATAACTACAAGATATTCTGAAACAAACTGAATCATCAATTGCAGCAGACTCATCCTTGCTGTCTTTATGTTTATACCTTGTACACATTAGCAAAATAGAGACAGATAAAATAAAAGACAAGAAACTCAAACAAACATATACAGCTGGAAAACAAGAGAAAACAAAGGAACTTGCTGTAAAGTAGAAAACTTTAGAAGAAAATGGAGAACCATTATTCAAGTCAATTGTTAAAAGAGACAACATGCACATGGCAAATGGATAAAAAAGCCAAAAGCCATTAGGCCTCTTTTCTAATCTTGTTCATAGTTGACAAAAACATGTAAAATTTACATCTATTTTCCAAATTTATCACCATTCATTCAATTTCAAAGCCCTAAAAATTAAAGTAACAGTTCTTGTTTTCCTGTTTAACTTAAGAATACCAAGAATTGCAGTCACAAAATCCACCTCAGAAAAGCTTTTGCCAGTCTTAGTAAACAAATCTGACCCCTTCAATAATCTGCAGCAAAATAATTCATATTTCAACAGCATACGAGACAACGACGAGAAATGTATTTAGTACATTATGTTAGGCTTACCGTCGTGCTTCTTCATTAGATTCCTCGCGAACAGCAAGCAAATGACGAGAAATCCCGCTGCTGCTACCCCTCCAACTATTATAGCCACAGTCTTTCCTACATTTTGCCCTGACCCTCCGATGATTATTAAATTCAGCTGTCTTTAGTATATGATTTGTGGACAACAAATCTGAAGCAATGGCTGGCAAATCTAAGGTGGACACTTTTGATTATAACACTACTTCTCAGTCTCAAACAAGCTAGGGTCGACTATATGAATCCTCACTGCTCACTGACCATGTTACTCTGTCTAAACTCATATCATGTCCGTATTATGCAAATACAAATAAGAAGTATTAAAAATACTCTATATTTACTCAACGTATAAATGTCTAAACCACTCCAAGAAAGCATAGGACAAACATCTAAGAGTGCTATAACCAATATCAACTCAATAGCTCAATAGCACTACTGATTCAGACCTTTTATCATCTACCGTCAAACTTCTCTATAGCGCTTCGTTGTAACAATCAAAAAATGTCTGGAACAAACGATATAGAGAGGTCGACTGTATACAACTAATTTATGAGGCAGATAGCTCAAAAGTCCAAGAATACAAAAGTTTATTAGTAGAATGGCTAGTTCAGCAAAACAATTGGGAAAACATTGTAGCTAGACAAAAGATGTTAATATCAATATAACTAATACCTGAAGATGAAGAAGGAGACCAATCTGAAGATGATGATGATGTTTTTGGGACCCCATTTTGATAATTATTATAACTAATAAAACATTTGTGCAGAAAGATTTGGCCAGAAACAGAACTTCCACATTCCACCTGAGCTTTTTGGACAGCAATTTTCACACAATCAGCACAATCAGCAGAGCCAACATCCCCTTCACATTGCCCCAACACATACACAGATTGATAGCTTGTTGTGTAGAAGCCATTACTACTAGCCATGTCATTTTCCAATGTGGAAAAAGCAGTATCCCTTCTTTCCTCAAATCCACTACCTACCAGTATTTTCGACGCGGAATATAAATATATATGAAAAATTCACTAAAATTTCATGAAGAAAACGACGTATTAAATGATGGGATCAGACATAAAAGCCTAAAGATTAAACCCTTAATACTTAAATACTGCCTTCCTGGCAGTGGCAGATGTAGGGTATAAGCAACGAGTTTAACGAACACAGTATTTAGACATGGAATATAAATACTCCCTCCAAATTTTCCTTATTAGTCCGTTCAGAAAAAATAACAGATTTTTATATTTAGAAACAATTTAACTTTAAACTTATCATTTTACTTTTAATGACACGTTTTTATAGCCTCATAAATGTCATAGCCCAAAAGGCTTTTATGCCTTAAACTTTTATGACCACATGTTTTAAAAGATTATTCTTTCCAATAAACCCTATGTTGAGTCAAACTACCATGTAAAAATTGAAACAAATGGAGTATATAAATCACTAAATTTTCAAAAAATATTAAATTTTGAACTTATAATTTGAAAATTGTAACAAATTCAATAGCAAAAACTTAAATATGAAACCCATAAAATTTAAATCTTGAATACGCATCTACTGTACCTGGAGAATTTTTCCCACTACAAGTCTTGTACAGCATTTCCATTCCAGAGATTTGAGGGAAACCAGCAACCTCATACAGCATATAACAACCAAATAGTTGAATTCTTGCAGCTACAGGCTTACTACCACAAAGCTTATCTATAAGTATAGGCAAACCACTCACACATTTATAACAGTCAACATTAGAAAGGTCACCTCTACACTGAAAAAGACCAGAAATAGTAGACTGGCCATTACCAGTACTAGTTTTGTAAAACTTGGATTTTGAGGATTGTGCAACAAGTGTACCAAAAAGTGATGAAAGTGCTTGTGAGTAAACCCCAGTTGGATCTGATAAATCTTGCTTTGCACAACCTTTGTATACTAACTTGGTGTAATCTGGTGCAGATTTAGCTAGTGGGAGTAGCTTGAAAATGGTAAATATAATCAAGAAAAGTGAGAATATACTGTAAAATGGCTTTGTGGGCAAACCCATTTGTGGATTCTTGGAAGGTTATACCATGGTTGATTTTCTATTTTTTTTTGTTGGGTTTTTTGAGGTTTTGGGATAAAGATTTCTAGCTGGGTTTTTTTGGTAAAGGGAAATGAGGTAATGTTGATGGATTTATTTTGTGATTTTTTCTTGGTATAATTAAGCTGCTGTTTTTCTTCTCAATAAAGGGAGTGTTAAAAGGTGGTGTGTTTGGGTTACACTTTGCTTTTGGTTGTGCAGAAAAGAGGTAATCTTCACCAGTACAGAGGAAGTGAAAAAATGATCAATTGAGAGTAGTGTTATACTTTAGGAAATAGGAGTAGTCCTTTTTTATGAAAAAGTAATCATTACTTTATTGATTTTTAAAAAAAATAATTATTTTATTAAAAATAGTTAGTCTTTATTTGAAAAATGATACTCCTTTAGTGACCAGCAAATATCTTGATAGAATGGTAAATAATCATCCTTAATTTTTAACTTTAGGTTCGAGTCCCGGCATACATATCGAATTTAGTAGAGAATACTTTACGCCTAAATAGGATATTTTGACGCAATCTGGATTAATTAACGGGTGCGATAGCGGACACTAAGTGAGAAATTATATATATAAATATACTCCTATGTTTATTATTTTACGATATTTAATTGAGCAGTAGTTAAAGAAGGAATAGAAGAATGTAGTGTTAAATATACCATAAGCATTTTTGTATCTAAAAATCTTATACCATGTGTCTCAATTTGTGCGGCAGAACTTGGATTCCAAAAGTCAAATTTCTTAAATTTGACCGTGAAATCGGACATAGAATTTTTAAGTTTTTTGAAATAAAATTTATATATTTAAAAGTTACGTAAAAAGCATTATAAGTCACAACAATTAATAATTTAAAATATCTAAAAGGCATATGAAATAATTGTAGCCAAAGAAAAACTTGTTCAACTTTCGAAATTCGAAATCTGTCGCATAAATTGAGAAGGGGAGTATCAAATAAGGATAAAATTTAAAATTAAATTATTTTTAAATATAAAAATATGATATTTTTGTGAAAAGGACTAAAAAAGAGTTCTACTTAAATATAACGAGCGTCCCCGGGGGAGTAATTTTATTAGCAAATCAAGATATTTAAAGAGAATGAGAACAAAATATTGTACTAATGAAAACAGAAAAACGACAGAGAGTAGAAGAAATATTCGCTTGGTAACAGGATGGTTAGAATAGAGGAAGGAATTAACTGTACAAATTCGACCAAGATGAAAGTACATTTATTAAACAAACCTAATTTCAATTTTTTGAAATTTGAATATTTTATGGTACATTTACTTCTTTCATTGGTTGGAATTGAATGTCCATTAATGGAGTTCAACCAAGATCCTGTGAGTCAGTAGTACAAGTACTGTACAACAAGAACAAAAGATTCATTTATTTATTTAATCATGTATTAAATATTTTAAACAAATGGAGCAAGCAGTAAAAACCACATGAGAAGATCTCTGTCATGTGATATCTGCAAGATGGACTGCATTAAAGTTAGAAGTAAACAAAAATTAAGATTTGCCTATAAAAATATTCTGCTAGTAAGATAGGTTTTCATTATTTAGTTTGAATTTAATATAGGGATTGTTACACAATAGCCGACCAGATTTAATGTTTACTTTTTTTATACGGTATACATAAATTATACATTGATTATATACAGTTATACATATATAATACATAGATTATATACATATATAATATGTATATATAGATTATATACATATTGACAAGAGTTGGTTGCTCTAGTGGTGAGCACCCTCCACTTCCAACCAAGACCCCACTACCGATGGTCTATCGGAAACAACCTCTCTACCCCAGGGTAGAGGTAAGTTTTACGTACACACTACCCTCCCCAGACCCCACTAGTGAAATTATACTGGGTTATTATTGTTGTTGTATACCTTCGCCGGCTATTTTTAGTTTACAAGATTAAATGGACGGCTATTTGGGTTAATTCTTCTTTAATATATATACTTTGACAATAAAAATTGTCTTACACTATTAATGTAATTTTACCTATTTTGACATGTCATTTATTACGTTTTGTAGGCAGAGGCGGATCCAGGGTTTGAGACTTATGGGTTCCTACCGTAATTTTAAATTAATATGCAATAATAACTGAATTCACAGTTAGATATTTATAAATATTTAGTGAATTTTTTAATATAAATACAGAATTTACGCAAGAGTCACTGAATTCTCGGAAATCCATACTCAATGCTTTAGGTCCGCCCCTGCTTGTGGGTTATAAATTCATCCTTGCTATAAAAGTAGTACATGGAATTGACTTTTAAGGGATCTAATAGCGTAAAAGAAATACATTATCTGTGCAAATAATAATATAACATATATATATATATGGTTGTTTTACTGTTCTTTTTAATGTTTGCAAAGTGGGTTTAAATTTGAACATGAGTGCGAATTTACGTTCAAAGTACTGGGTGCCCGAGCACCCACTAACCTCGACATGAACTCTATATAGTTATATAGAAAATATAGGAAAAACTAATATAAAGCCAGCAGTTATAACTTGTAACTTTGACGTATTTTTCATAATGATAATATTATTATAGTTCATTAACTTGGGACTAAATGTTTTTTGTTTTTGGTAATGATAATATTAATCTTATTTTTCTTATTAACTTTTTTCGCTATTATGATCGATTAATTATGAATCTTGTACTATATGATTAGTAGCAATAATACATATAAAAAAGGGATTTTAAAATCTTAGATTCGCACTAGATTAGGCTTAATTTATTAGATTTTTGCCTAAAATGGTGGATTCTTACCTAGACCACTAATGTCGCCAATAATTTGAGGTGATATATATTGAGTAAAATATACTTCAAGAACCAATGATCTTGTACTATAACAAAGATGTCAAGTAGTTAAAATGTCAACTTTTGTTGTATTTTTCTGGACAAGATCTACTATTAAAATCTCGCACTGGGATGATATTATGTTGCAAAATCTTCTTAAGAGTAATTAAATTGTAGCGACAAATTCCAAGACTAAAACTGACTTCTAACCATGCATTTGATTGACATTTTCTACTTGGATAGCCTAAATTGTTTTACAGACAAAAATGTTCGTTTGATGAATTTACTTTAACTCTTACTCTATATCATATATTTCAATCATTACCTACACATTGTAATCAATATTTAATATTAAGCTACCGTTTGGATATAGATTTAGTTGAAACGTGGAAAAAAAAAGGAATTTTTTTCAAGATGGGATGAAAATGAATTTGGAAGTTGAAATATTGTTTGGATATATATTTTACTTGAAAAGAAATTAAAAGGTTTTGTGAGTAGAATACTTCAAAAACTTGAAAAACTAGTCTATAAACTATTTTTTGAAACTTGAAAAATTTATATTCAAAAAATGCCAAAAGATCACTTTTTAATAACCAAACAATATTTTCATTTTTTTAATTAAAAAGGTAGAAAATCTTATGGTCAAACGGGAGGTAAGTAACATCTTATAATAATGTGTTCATTGTTCATACTATATCCTTCACCTTTGTACATTATCATATGTCTGTCATCGCTTATACATGTTCAAATAAAAAATTGGAAAATAACATAGAAAATGATTTGTCAAAGAATAATATTTTTTACGAAAATGATTTCAACCTTTTCTTCTGAATTTATAAAACTTTACTCCGGGCAAAATAATCATGAGTTACTCTTGTCTATTTATTGAGACAAGTTGAATTGAAGCAACTAATTGAAATTTATAAGTAGAATCTTCTTCTATACCATACGCTCCACCCCACCACCATGTGTATATTCAAATTTGAAACAAAAGGCAGCCATAATTCAAAAAAGCTACATCCCAATTAGTTTAAGAAAATGATTAGTAATTTCCGGTCCCAATTGTTAATTTCTCATTACAACTCGGAGAGGTCGATTCTCCATCTAACTCATCCAACTCATACTACTTAGGTGCGTAAAAAAGCAGTCATGTGCACTAAGCTTCCGTTATACGTAAGATCCGGAGAAGAGCTGGACCACAAGGATTTCATTTTAACTTCTTTTTTTATGAATTAAAATATTATTATAAACAATAAAGGAAGAAGAAGAGTATTACAGAGAAAAGTAGAAAGAGAAAATTGATATTTGATCAATTACAATGGAATAGAACCCTCTCTATTTATAGGAAAAAAGTGATTTAGCCACCAAGTAACAAACCCTAAAATATCTCTAAAATATAAACATTCACCATAAATACAATTTTATTTATACCACTCCCCTTGAATATCTATTCAACAAATAATGTGCCTCGTTAAAATCTTAACTAAAATAAAACCCAGTGAAAAAAAATTCTAGTGAAGGAAAAAGAATACACATGTTTAGAAATACGCCTATTGGTTGCCTCGTTAAAAACCTTGCAAAGAAAACTCGGTGGGACAAAACCTTGTGAGGGAAAAAGAATACAACTCGTATTAACTCCCCCTGATGAGAGCATCAATTCCCATCCTTGAGCTTTCGTATCCCAATGGTGTACATTAATTTCTTGAAGGTTGATGTTAGTAGAGATTTGGTGAACAAATCAGCCATATTATCACTTGAACGAATTTGTTGCACATTCATATCACCATTCTTTTGAAGATCATGTATGAAAAATAACTTTGGTGAAATGTGCTTTGTCCTA